TTAAAAATGCAAAATCTCTTGCTCCTCCCCCAAGATCTACAGAATTAGAAACTCTGAGGGGTGAGGCCCAGCCACCTGAGCTTTAACAAGCCCTCCATGTGATTCAAATACATGTTCAAGTTTGGCCTAAACTATGCAGAAAAATGTCTTTTTTTCTTAAGTGGAAGACAAGGGCCTCATGAGTATGGAAATATTGTTAAATTTGAGAAATTAATACTTGAAATTGAAAGGCAAAAGGCATAAAAATTGCACAGTTTATACAGCAATTAGAAACATCAAAGTTACTGAATGATGGTTATAATGGGAATATAGAGGGATTTTTTGAAAGTGAATTTTGGGAAAGTAAAAATGTACCATCTGCAGATGTAGGACAATTACTCCCTGTGCGGTAAGGGCGCTAAGAAAGTGTGTCCTATGAAGTAGCAGAAGTGCTTTAATCATGCAATAAAGTGGAATCTGGTGCTGCATCAGCTTGTCCTGGTGAGCAATATTAAGTGTCTCCCATTCCTCTCTTGATTGTATTTGATGCTGTCCTCTGGGAGTGTAAGACTGGGCCAATATCTACAGAGCTAGTGGGATGAGAGTGATTTCTCAGTGGAATTCATAATAAAAAATGATTTCTGTTTTCTGAACTAGCAGCTTCTCCATCATCCTAACTGCTGGACTTTCACTCAATATCTGGGCTGGATTAATTCCCAGAGAATGTAGTCGTTTTCCTGATGGAAACTCCTGAAGGAGGAGATTAGTGGGGTTTTCATTTTTGTCCTGATGTAATCTGAAAAATCTCAGCAACTCAAAGGTATCCTGGAGAAACTGTTTCTCAATTTTTCTTTCATGTTTTTCAACCTGAATTTAATCCTTGGATCTCATTCTTTTTTCTTTGTCATTCTCTTTCAATGAATATGCATTGGTATATGTTAACTAAACACTTATTATGTGCAGTGCAGAGCACTAGATGACCTCACAAACCTTCATTTTCATCCCATCTTCTTCAACATTTGAAAAAGAATAAACTGTAAAATATCTCTCTCCTCACTCCCTTGCCACTATTTTTCCTGGTGTCGGCTTTGCCTATTTATGTTGCTTTTCAAATGAAGAATTTGGGATTCCCCACACTTTAAGCCATTTGCAAAAAAAAAAAAAACAGATAATTATTAGAAAGCACAGAGAACACACAAATATCCTTTCACTGTGGCATTGCAGCCTTGGCCTGACTTTCCCAGATTCATGGTTTCTGTTGATTATTCTTTTATCGAGGAAGAGGGGTGGGAGTGAGTTCTGCAAAATAACGGGTAACTGTTTCCACTCTTTATTGTTCTACTTCACAGAGGGGAGAATATATCTCTTATATTTGTGGAAGAAACATTGGGCACTTTCAGTCCTTGCAGATGTGGATTGTAGCTACCAGGATTCTGATCAACTGTCCTTCACCAAGGTACCTGAGTCACAGTGGCAATAAAAAGTGGCACTCAAGGAAAAAAAAAAAAAAAAAAAAAAAAGGCATTCCTCCAAGCTGCAATGCAGAGATGTCCATACTGTAAACATAAGCAGACTATGCCTCCCACCTGAGAAACAGGTTTCATAAATTCCCACATTCATATTGTATCGAATATAGAGGAAAATGGACCATTGAAACCTATGTCAAACAGAAACTGAGATTGTAGTGGTTTCCAAAATTTGGGAAGCAGAATATCTGTAACTACAAATACAACTTCTTTTTAGCATCCCCAGAATCATTTCATAAAGGAATCTTTAAGAGGTAGGTAATGATATGAACATCATTTAGAAAGAATTCAGGGCCGGGCGCAGTGGCTCTCACCTGTAATCCTAGCACTTTGGGAGGCTGAGGCAGGTGGATGATGAGGTCAGGAGTTCGAGACCAGCCTAGCCAACATGATGAAACCCCAGTCTCTACTAAAAATACAATAAATTAGCCAGGCGTGGTGGCATGCATCTGCAGTTCCAGCTACTGGGAAGGCTGAGGCACAAGAATTGCTTGAACCCGGGAGGTGGATGTTGCAATAAGCCTAGATCATGCCTCTGTACCATAGCCTGGGTTACAGAGTGAGACTCCCTCTCAGAAAGAAAAAAAAAGAATTCAGGGCAGGAAGTTGTATGATTGAGAAGATGCACTTGCTCTCCAATCACAGTCTTCAAATTCCTAGCAGTCTACGTTTGTATTTCTCTTTTTTTTTTTTTGGAGATAGACTCTTGCTCTGTCACCCAGGCTGGAGTGCAGTGGTACCATCTTGGCTCACTGCAACCTCCACCTACCAGGTCCAAGAGACTGTCTTGCCTTAGTCCCAAGTAGCTGGGATTATAGGTGTGTGCCACCACACTCAGCTAAGTGTCTGTATTTTTAGTAGAGACGAGGTTTTACCATGTTGGCCAGCATAGTCTCAAACTCCTGACCTCAAGTGATCTGTCTAACTCAGCCCCCAAAAATGCTGGGATTAACAACGTGAGTCACTACACCCAGCCTGTATTTCTCTTTAACAAGGTAACTCCATGTCTTTCCTTCTTCAAGTTAATAGGCCCTTGAGAATTCATTTCTGGGTGTGAGTTAAGTGGCTCTGCAGTATACTGATAAGATACAGAGACTGGAGTCAGGTTTCTCTGGTTAGAATCCCCTCTGCCTCTGCTTTTGTAGCTGTGGCACCTCAGCAAATTGCTGCCTTTTCTGAGCTCTAGCTTCCCCATATGTTGCTATAGGATTACATATGATAATATATGTAAAGAATTTAGCACAGCACCTGGCCAAAAGGCCCAGTAAGTATAACATATGATTTATATTTGTTATCAATTAAATTCCTAAATGAATTTTAGTTGCATTTGTTTCACCCATTTTTCTTTGTTGTGCTCAATCTAACAGAACAGTTTTGTTTGAGGGGGGCTGTATTTCTCCCTCCTCATTTCTTTTCATCAGTCACCTCAGCCTGAGAAAAAGTGATGCAGTCTGCTTTGTGTTCGTCTGTTGGGAAAAGCCTGGATCATCAGTCATGCGGTGAGTGTTTAGCAGGCTGCTGGCTTCTGCCCACAATAAAGAGGGATCTCTGAAAGTTTAGATATTTTAAAAAAGAGAAGCAAAAGGGCAGTTACTGGAGCTCGAGGGTGTGTATGAATGGCACATTTGCCTGCCCGCACTGTCCATAGGGCTGCCTCTTTCCAGGACCTCAAGTCGGCCCAGGGTTTCTGGCCTTCTACACGTCTTGTTTTTCTGGGTCATGAACTGGCAGGGAACATGCAACACTGTGCCCTTAGCATTCAGGTGTTTCACAAACACAATGCTTCTCTCTTGGCCCTCATCAGAGTCAGCTGTCTCCAGCATACACAGAAGGACGTGCAGAGCCTTTGTATGCATGTAGCATTGTGCACAAGAAGAGGTGACAGGAGGGCAGGGCCTCCTCCTAGGAGCCAGCTCCAGTAGCAATATGTAAATGACTTCTTGGAATTGCCAGCGTGGCCCTGGTGAGTCTGGAAGATCACCTTGCTAGTGGGCCCGATGCCAGCCTGACAGATGGCCTGGGCTGCTTGCAGCACAACAGTTTTAGACCATCAGATGTGTTCCCTGAAGGCAGGTGACCCAGCCAGGAGTGTCCGGGAGGCTGTCCAGGGGGACAACTCAGGCTGCAACATAATTTCCCCAGCTCTGGCTACCTCCTCTTTTACTCTAACTTGCAGTGCTGTCTGCGAAGAGGAAAGACCAGGTCTCTCTTTCACCCTTAAGGAAAACTCTGGGTCACATAATTTTTGTTGATGTCCAGTCTGTTCTCTACACGACAGCGCCTCACAGAAGTGACCAAATGTTTCCATCAAAGGAACCAGCGATTGCAAAGTTTAAAAGGATAATAAAATAGTAAAGTCTATTTGGGGCCCTAGTTTAGAAAAACCCAGTGATCTCTATAAAGTATTAAGAAAATATTGAACTTTCAAATTTATGATTTCATGTCCTCTAAGACCACAGACCTCTTGGCATTATTTTGCTTTCCTTGTTTTTTTTAAAGCACGAATCTTTTTTTATGAGTTAGAAAGTAAACATATAACATTTTCTCTCGCTTACACTCATAATTTTTAAAAGCCTAGGGAAAGTTAATGTTTCTGAATTCAGCCTACGGATTTGAGATAAGGATTCTAGGAGAGAAGGCTTTTAACTCAGAATCTGTGGCTATTGTTCAATTAATGTAAAGTATCTGGTTACTGGGCATGTTGCATAATGCATCGCAGTGCAAGCCAAACGTTTTCAGTGCTGACAGTGAGCTCCTTGATAACAATGAAGAGTGAGGTAATTTGTTAAATTTTTTTAGAAGTCCCCTAAAACAGTCTTCTCAAGACTGAATGAATCAACACTTTCGAGCTCAGACCGCAACTGAGGGTTGTCTGTGTGTGCTCATGATGATAAGAAATCTAGAAGGAAACTGAAAAAACCACATCTCATGCCCTGTTTAAGAACCAGAAAAAGTGTCAGAAGAATTAAAATTAAGCCTCACGAGAATCTGTGGGTATGGAAAGTCACCAGCTAGCTAATATTAACATAGCTTGCAACAGAATACTGTTGCTAGAAATAGGACAGTCGCATCACTACCACTAGGCAATTTGCATTCTGTGGACCAGCCCCTGAATTCCTCCTGGCTCCTATTGCCCTTTGGGCGTTGCATTTCTGGACGCTTCTAGACAGTGTTCATACTTGGCTGTCTGGTTTCACCAGGAACTCTACCCGAAAGAGGAAATAGCAAGGAGAAGAACATTTGCTTTGTTTGTAGGAGGGAAGTGGTCGAGCTACAAACAAATCTTTAGGCATCTGAGGAATTGCTAAGTTTCTAATTTCATATGGTTGCTGACAAGGAGGTGCAGACAAGGACCCTCTTGCTTTCCTCACTATGGATAGTCTGTTGCCTCCATCTAGATTCTCTTATTTCAAAAAATATCCTCTCCATGCAATTAGGAGGTATTTATCGACGCTCAGAAACCAAAGAGCCGAAGAACAGGTATCATTTTGTTTATATTATCTTTGAAATTAACAGATGCTTGTTCCTTGTTGCTTTTTACGTCGCTTAGTGATTTTATTTGTGCTGGTTTACATGTTTAAAGGCACAGGTCAGATCCTGCTTGTGGCTGTTCAGACTTGGCAATCAGAAAGCAAGCGGGCTTGTGAGAATTCATTTAAACTTGGAACATTTAGATCCTGAGATTAAGCAGAGTTCTGTAATGAAGCCACATGCTTTTCTTTCTTTTAAAGAGCTAAACTACTCTATCAGAGTTAAATTTTGGATTCTTTGATCATTTTCCAATGCCTCAGACACAAAATTTGAATCTATTAATATGTCAACAAAGAAAGTATTAGGCCCTAGAAGTATACTTGTCTCCTTGTATTTATGGTTATGTTTATATAGCCAGAATTTGCAAAACAAAAAACATTTTATAAACTATGATAACTTTAAATAGATCATCAACAAGCTGTAAAGATCATTCAGAAGCAATTGGTCATTTCTGTGTGCATAAAAGGTAGGAGGGAGAGCATTGCCATTTTCAATCTTTTTAGCCAATCAAAAGCTATGATTTCTAGGAGGAGATACTATCACTCAGGAATATAAGCATTTTAAAAACTTAAAATGTCTGATTTAAAATCTCATTTAAAATCATCCATTCATTTTTACGGCATGAGGTTTATATCATTTTATTCCTTTGGTCTCTGAAAAAGATATTTCTATAAATGATTTTTATGAATTTTACCAAATTGTGAGAAGAAATAACAATATCTGATCCATTTAAATCCAGTGGTTCATTTAGAAAGAAGTGTGGCGGTGTTATACAAATGTGAGGGAGAAATGTATAGCCATATACCAAAGACCCAGCAGTCAGAAATTGCTCGTGCATTGTGGCTGTAGCTATAACTACAAAACTGTGCAGGGGATATCACCAGTGTCCTGTATTTTTTCATCCTAAGATGACCCACTTAATAAAACACTTCCAGGAAATGCAAGATAAGTTTAGCAGACAGAAAATCCTCTAATGACAGGTTTCCCAAAAAGGCAATGCATAATTTGGAAAATAAAAATTACTGCTGCTGTTTGAGGGGAAACTGCTTGTATGCCCTGCTTTAATAGTTTTCCAAGGGCCAGGAATTCAAACAGACTCTGTTCCCTAAGGGAGGTGGGCAGGTGCAGTTTATCTCTTACTTAGGAAAGGTGTCATCATTAAAAGAAAAAGCTCTTGGTTTCCAAGTCTCAGCCTGTGCTTGCTTTTGAAGTAGAAAGCTAGAGAACCAAGCGGTAGGGCTCTGAGCTTTTGTTTACCAATTTTGCAATCTTCACGGGCTTCTTCAGGCCTCATTTATTATGGGAGGAAGAGAGGTGACACAAAGGATGGGACCAAAACTGTGCAATGTGAATCGAGTGATTTTTTTTTTCCTTTTCTCAGTATTGTAAGTTTTCAGAGATGTGGCTCTATTGCTTGTCTAGTTCTATGGTTTTTTGTTTTTAGTTTATTTAAGAAGTGTTGCAAAGTGCATTCAGAAGACCTTTATTATTTAACATAAAACCTCTAACTTGGACTGGGTGGGTAGTCCCCTCCCCACTTTGCAACCATTTGGGACAACTTAGGAACAGCTGGGAGTGAGCATTATGCTGAGTTCTTAACTTCTTATATAAGTGAATTGAAAAACTAAGAGAAATTATATGTTTGATTTTTTTTTTAAAGTCAATTACAGCTCTGCAGACCTAATGTCTCACAGAATTAGAGAAATTAGGTCAGAGTCAATCATAACTAACCTTGAAATCTTGTTGGGAAGTTATAAAGGAGGTTAATAATGTCTGCAATCTTATGACCTGCATATTTGTTGCCTCTAATCCTTTACATTCTTGTAAAACTAATCCATAATATAAAGGTGAAGGGAATGAGACTTACAGCCCTTAAGAGCCCTTGCCCATGCAGCTAGAAAGGACCAGAGGAAGATGTGAATTTCTATCACGTGGCTTTCAATTTTATCCATTTTACCATGCTTCATCCCTGAACAATCTAGTAATAGCAAAATATCACCCTGCTAACTCTTCTCCTTGAGAGTATTTCCAAAATTTCTTACGTTCACATACCACTGTCATAATTCTTACTGTATTTACCATGTCTGTATGATTAACTCCTCAATATTTTTCTATATTTATACTTAAATCATATTATTAGAGTTTATTTAGAAAAAATTTCCTATCGTGACTGTAAATGGAAAACCATTGTCATTACCCATAAGTAAAGCAAAATAGTATTAAATTCTAGGTAGATACTATTGCCTGTAAAACCTCCAAGCCTGAAACCTGCTCATTTGTTTATAAGGAAAATTAGCTTTTGAGAGAGGTTAGAGCATCCTAGGAGCCAAATCAGAAAGTTTCCTGGGTGAGGATGGAAGGGAATTAAATGGATGGAAGGGAATTAAAATTAATAGATAATTTTCTCAATCCCAAGTGATTCAGTGTTATTGAACGTAGTGTCTGCAAGCCACTTAAACTCTTTCACCTAACACTGCTAGGTACTAACAGTGTTGAGTTCTACATACTTGGGGAATATTATCCCAGAATACCATCTGCTTTTTTACTTCTGCACATTCAAATGCACTCCTCCCTCTAACTTAGAATTCTCTCCCTTCCTTACCACTTGCCCACCTGGAGGTCTCCTGTATAATCTTCAAGACTCGGATTAAATGGGCTTTCTCCAGGGCTGCTGGGAAGAATGAAGTCTTCAATTTCCAAGATATTTTGTTTGCTTCAGATAAGGCCCTTACTAATTCCATGTAGTAAATCATGTGATTTTCTGTCAATATATGTGTACCCGTGCGTACGTGACACTGGATGTTATCTTGTTTTTTGGTTCCCCGAGGCTCACCTGGAGCCTGGCAAATACCGGTATAAAGGTGACCCATAAAACAGGTAGAGGGTATACGCTGGATTGCCTGTTGACACACACCTTCTTTGTTGCCTTTACTCACCTCTTGCCCGGACCTAGAAAGTCCCCACACCCCTTTTCTGCCGTCCAAATTGTGATCATTGTTATACACACCTGGCTCATGTATGCTTTCTTGTTTAAAGCTGCTCCTAGTGCTCTTCTCCTCGCACTTGGTGTCATACGGACAAGAAGATTTGACTTGAGGGTGATTCATTTGGTAGTGGTGGTGGTAGTGTTATTCCTGTGATGCAGCAATCAATAGGTTGGTAGGTTATTTATCATATTGAGAACAAATATTTCATCCTTTCCTTCCCTAGGTTCTCTCGTAGCAAGTGTTTCACAAAGCCAAATCCCCACATAGGTAGAAGATTAAGACCATTAATTGAGGTCTTAATCTTAATTAAGGTTGGGAACATTTGTTAACATTTCTCTCAGAATTATTCAAATGGTGTAGCAGGAATGGTGGTGTTGAGGATGGTAGCGGGCAGCCAGAGTCTAAATGGAGTCTCAGGTGAGTTTGAGTAGGTTCGCTGAACGCACGCAGTTATTTTATTTTGATCGAGGGCAACATCCAGCATCTGGCACGGATGTTGGTGTCTAATTTATGAGGAATCAGCGAGACTTAACAGGCAGTGTTCTCCTGAGTACTAGAGACTTGGCAGCCTCAACTGTGGCTCAGGTGACCAAGCAGGACACTAGTGTGGAAAGGAGAATTTGCTCCACTTTGAGCTGACTGTAGTTTAGCTGTAGCCTAGGGCTGCCTGCCAAGAACCAAGTGCTCCATGAACCCCTGGGGAGTACTGCTTTTAGGGGCTAGCACCATCGGTCTACATATGGGTGCTGGCAACAAACTATGTGAGAAGACAGTTGTCTTTTTTTTGTTGTTAGAGACGAGGTTTCACCATATTGGTCAGACTGGTCTCGAACTCCTGACCTCAGGTGATCCACCCACCTCGGCCTCCTAAAATGCTGGGATTACAGGCGTGAGCCACCGCGCCTAGCCTGAGAAGACAGTTTGTGAGCTCATGTGGGACAGCCTGTAATCTCTCCCTAGGTGAGTTCCTCTATTCCCATGGTTTCAAACACCTATTCGCTGACAACTCCCAAATGTTTATATCCAGAGCACTTCAGCCTTGCATCCAATTGTCTACTTTATATCTTCACCTGAATACATTGTGAATGTTGCAGACTGATGTGTTCAACAAGAACTCCACAAGCTGGATCCCCAAACCTGCCCCTCCCTAGGTTTTTCCATCAATCAACACAAAAGCTCAAACCAGAAACCTGGGCGTCACCTTGGCATCTCTCTTTTGCCCTTTCTCCCCATACCTCCCCTTCCTATTCCTTTAGTGAGACTTCTAAAATAGTTATTGAATTCTCCATCTTCACCCTTCCAATCCTGCCAACCATCCTCTCTTACTTGAACTACTGCAGTAGTATTCCAATTCATGTCTCCATCTTCACGCTCATTACCCTACAATCTGTGTTGCCTGTAGCCTTCAGAATTTTCTGCTTTAAATGAAAATCTTATTTTAGCTCAATGCAGTGAATAGGATATTTTTTGTTTGCTAGTTTAGTCCCAGTGCTAAGCATAAATCTGGCCCATAGATGATAAATTAACATAATTGAATGGATGAAGGGGACTTTGTAAGTATTAGAGAAGCCATGGGGCTGGAGGGTTCAGAGGGATGGGACATTGCTGTGCACGTGAGGGTAAGAGATGGTGAACATAGGGTTATTATTCTTAGTAAGCAGAGGCTGTTGAGATTTACTTGAAATCATGTAGAGGAATTTATTTTACAGACATGGAACTAGTGTCACAGGCTAAGAGATTTGCCCAAGCTCACGTGGCTCATTTGTGTCAGTGCTGGGATTAGAATTTGGTTCACTTGACTCTCATTTCGGTGTCCTTTCTGTTATGGTTAGTGAACCCCTAAGCAGAGATGTAGAAAAAAGCCATATGAGAAGAAAACTCCACAGGCTGGGTACAGAGAAAAGGTGATGCCTGAGGGTCAACTAGTCAATAACAAGACCTTTTGATGAGATACTGAGGCAGAGCAGAGCCTGCTCTTTTGTGCCTTGTCCCTCAACTTAACGCTGCCCTTCAGCAGCTTCACCAGTCTCAATCACCCTCTTCTATGTGTCCCTGCAGGAGGAAAGCAAACAAGGGGTCAGAAAACACAGGCCAGCTAATTTAATATACAAGAATTTGGGATGACCTGTACCAATGCCTTGCTCTCTTGAACAGGGTTTTTGTTTTGTTTTGTTTTGTTTTGTTTTGTTTTCTGATTAAGAAATACCATTTAAGAGCTGACCTGACAAGTCTTTCTTGTTTAACAGTAAATCTACTTAAAATGGGGAGAGTGGTCTTTGGGCCCAGGGGACGTGTGCTATAGCTACATTTTAATTACAGAGTAGGATGAAATTTTGTTTTGGGGGCTGTTCTAAAGTTTCCTTCCAATGGCTTAAGAAAGTGTTTCTAGTTCGAACAGGATCACTGGATTTTTTTCTCGTTGCTACTTTGTTTCTTAATGAATGCTAACCTCAAAGTTGAATTGTTAAATAAATATTGGAATTTAATTTGAATTTTAGAAACATATTTCTGCATTTTGGCTATCATACTTGCTCTGAATCGTACTATAAAAATTAAGAACTCCCCACTCCAAAGAAAACTATATTGAGATTTCCTAGGCTATGTAAGGATTTAGGTTGCTGATGTAGGCTCTGATTCTCTAGGTAAAATGACATATGTTTCTCTATAGCTTGACTTAAGAAATATTTTTAGCTCCATACAGTCAGTAAATTGGTTATATGTAGAGCATATACCAATGCTATTCATTGTAAAAAGCCTTTCTAAAAAGTCATGAAATGCTATCCATTGTCAGTTCAAATGATATCTGAGGGGAAACCAAAAGTGCTTCTCCCATTTCCTTGTTCTTGGGTAGAAAAAAGTTTCAGTCTTTCACTAGAAGGAAGAAAAGATATTCCTTGTAGAACTTAATAAACGTTTTCCCATTTATGCCTAGTGTTTCATTATTGGAACACTTAAGCATGTGGGAGTTATTTACATCTTGCTGCTCAAGGTCATCACCAAGGTCTGATTGCAGAAATTCAAAAAATTACGACCTCTGGCATAAATGGGTTAAGATAGAGGCCAGAGAGTCTATACCACTCCTGTGGAGGAATTTATATAATTATATAAAGGTAACATTGACAGTTAAATTGTGATAACATGAAGCTGAGATACTATGTCATGCCAGTTAGAATGATGATCATTAAAAAATCAGGAGACAACAGATGCTAGAGAGGATGTGGAGAAATAAGAACGCTTTTACACTGTTGGTGGCAGTGTAAATTAGTTCAACCATTGTGGAAGTCAGTGTGGCAGTTCCTCAAGGATCTAGAAATAGAAATATCATTTGACCTAGCAATCCCGTTATTGGGTATATATCAAAGGATATAGAGCATTCTATTATAAAGACACATGCACAC